GTGGCTCGGATCTGGAGATCCTCATCACCAAAGGGGTGGTGGCAAACCGCCTGGAAAGGCTGAACAGTGTTGCTTACAGCGCCCGCCCTAGTGTGGACAATGGGATCCAGTTCTCTCCCCAGGAGAGGGCTGGGCAGTGCTGTGGCTATGAAATTTTTGGGGCCATTCTCAACAAAGTGGTCGATCCAGCCAAATGTACCCTGCAAGGGGAAGGTAACGGGGTGCTGTGCAACGGCCAAATGGCAGCCAGCTGCACCCTAAAGTCAGTCACCTTTCCGTTCTCAGCATCAACTGGGGTGCAGCTTAAGGCACTGTTGGCTCCCTGCTGTCCAGGATTAACTAGGGGGAAAAGGGGTGGGGGGATGCATGGCATAGTAGAGCCCCATTAGAGATTGCATCCCTCAGACTGAGGGGCTGTAAGAGCTGTGCTGGGCAGGGAGCCAGAGCTGTCCCCAGCCACATCTAATGCAGCACACTGGAGCTGCCCTCTGCAGCGTTACTGACCTCGGTATTGAGTGAGGTGTGAGGAGAGCAAACCTTAGGCCAAAGATGACAGTTTACTCAGGGGATAGGAGTAGCACCTTCAATAGTGGAATGTGCTATTGGTTGTTGGAATGTGCTATTGTATTGTGGTGACCCTGGTTGTTTTGCAGCATGGGTCCGTGCAGATCTCCTCTGTAGCTGACCAAGTATGTTCCCCTCACAGCTTCTGCTGAAATTGCCATGGAATTTCTTGGTGTAGATGGTATCAGAGGCCCCTGCTTGCTAAGGACAGTGAACAGATAACGTTCAGATCAGCCCTTGGAGTGGAGCCACCTCAGGTCAATAATGACCTGCGCAGGGCAGAAGAGGCAGGCCCAGGGCCTGTTCAGTCCCTTCCATGCAAAAGGGGAAGTGCTGAGGTCTTGGGAGCAGAGCTCCACACTGCGCAGTGGGGCTGTCCCTCCTGTTGTATGGTGTTCCGCAAGGCACGCTGGGCACAGAGAGGCAGCCTGATATCTCCCAGCACCTGTGGCTGCCGTCTCCTGCTGCCTAGTAATATATTTACTTTATCCTGTGGGTAGAGAGGAGCTGTTATGTCCCAGCGGCAGAGTCCTGGCTGTGCTCCGATGGGAGTGGAGCACTGCAAAATGGATGGGAGGTGGGAATCGCGTCTGGTGTGAATTCTTTCCAGCACTCTTTCTCTGCTTTTCAGATCTCCACAATGCCCGTCAGAACCAGCTGACTGGCTTTACAGTGCTCTGTAATGACACCACGGGGGAGCGGATGGGAACAGGAGGAGACGCCGTGCGGGTCACTATCACTCACAAAGACAGGAGGGACTGGTGAGTGTTTCCCCCAAGAACTCACCAGTCTCGGGGTGTACCTTTCCTGTCTCTGTTACAGGCTCCCTTAGCCTGGCTCCCTCCTTGTTTACACGGGTGGGAGGAAGTGCTCCAGCATGTGGGTCAGAATCTATAGGGGAAAAGGCACAGCTGTTCTTCCCCCCCCAATATAGGAATGCTTTTTAGTGGTTTTATGCCACTGAGTGGGAGTCGATAGTATCGGCTTAGATATGTATGGAGCCTCTCAGTGGTTTGGGACTTCTTACAGGATTCAGCTCACAATGGGTATTAATCACGGTCAGAGTGAGCAATTGGGGCTGTGCCCCTTCCAGCAGACATCCAGGCCTCCTGCTTATGTTAACATCTAATGTGTGTAAAACAGAGGAACGCAAGAATGACCATCCTGTGTCAAACAGACAATTGACCAAGCCCAAGAGTCTCTGAGAGCGGAGGAAAGTGCTCAATCTGTGTTCTGGAGAAAGTATCTTTGTGGTGACTTCAGTGAGCTTTCTCCCACAATTACAAGTGTTGAGTGCTTTAAAATGTTTGGAGGTTCTCAAGCAAAAGCAGGGAAGACCACACTTGACCTGCTAAGTGTTTTCACAGTGAAAATAACCAGCGAGAACAAATTATTTTGGAAGCTGTTTTCAGGCCATCATTGTTATTATAAAACGCTGAGGCATTAGTGCAATTGCAGAACCATTTGGGGGTCAGTTCTTAAGGAAAACATCTACTGTGTTTTATATTAGCTACATTGCAGCTGGAGCAAGGTGCCAGTGTAGCTGTTGGTGGGTTGATGTGATGATTAAGGGGATATGTTGCTGGAACCCCTTGCTGTGGGGAAGTACTGACACAGCGTAAAGAAATAGTGCTGGGTCACAGATGACGGGGTGCACAGATGACTATCAGTAAAGCAGCATTGCTGGAGGATGTTGCTCCAACCTACTTGCGCCTAATGAAGGAAGGTACGAAGTGTGGAGGTGCACACACGAGGTTTATGTGGTGTTTTCTTGGTGGGGTAGAGGTCGCTGTGGTCACATTAACTCAGTTTCTCATTTTTGTGTGCATGCAGTTGCTACATCTGTTGCTGAAAGCTATCTGGCTCTGGGGTGAGGCACAGCAGCTGCTGAAGAGCCTGAAGCTTTGCCACGCAGTTCAGGGCAGGAAATGATGTAGGCAGCTGTATTGATGTGAAATGGTGGGGGGTGAGGAACATGCCCTACAAATCTGGAAGGTTATAAAGTGTCACGTCATGGGGCACAAGAGACTAAGTAGTGGGAATTAGGAAGAACGCCTTCCTCTGCGCAGAGCTCCCTGATAATTGTCTGTGGAAGGCTATTTTATCTTTCTGTGAAGTAGGCAGTGAGTCCCAGCGTAACTACCGGACACTTTTTCCCTGGCAGTGTGTCTACCAGGATGCCTTGTGAGGTTCACTTTGCAAGGGGAGGATTTCCCAGCAGGGGTCTAGAACTCCTCAAAGTGTCGAGGGA